TAAAAAACTACGTGACCGCATTGCACAATTGAAGATTCCGCTCTGAAAAATCGCCTGGCTCCGAATTCAGAGCGGATCCTGAACGAATAGAGAAAAAATAATGGTCCGTACCGGGCCTCTTTATCGACTGTCCCGAATAAATTATGTTGATGAAACTTTTAGTTTGAGTGTTATACCTTCGGTATGTACGACGGCCACTAGCTTTATACTGAAGCGATAAAAATTCAAAACCCTAACGGTGATAGAGAATCGCCTTGAATATTTCATCGTTTTGAAAGATTTGCTCGGGAGTTCTGGTTACTACGTTACACAGTGTATACCACGCTCGTACTAAAGCTTCTTAGGATTACCTTTTCAGTTGCTGCCTCGCATTTTGCTACAGATTTTCAATTCAACCTTGCGTCACTCTCACTAACTCTAATGCCAATAACAGTAAGTCTATTTTACAATTAACACTAATTTAATCAAATTGTTTAAGTCAACCTACGTCACTTCTTATATAATAGTCTCAAATTTAATCTAGGAGCTCTACCAACGCTTTCTCACAACATTAAATTCTACGAGCGTTGGATATTAAGCCGCAGTGGGACCATGAAATAAAAGCAAGCGCATTAATTCAAGTGCAACACGAAAAATGCATTAGTGCTTTGCCTCTCGACCATTCGTCATTGTCCTGTACGACGATTGACCTCAGGGGCCATTACGAGCGCTCGCTCGATGTGAATAAAATTGATATAAAATCAATATAAAAAAACTTGCATTTTGTGCCCATTTTTCCGAGTTGCTATATTGGAACGCTTGTTTTGTTGAGTAGATCGGTTTTGTGTTTTCATTTTCAAATGGAATTTACGTAGAGTTCAATTTATTTTGGATTGTTATCATGCAAATCGACTGAAAATTGTGAATACTGTATATAATAAGAAATACAAATGGATTTTTTTTATGTAAAATAGGTTTGCACGGACAACGACACATCAGACTACACATTTTTGTTCGAAAATCGCCTCCAATGCAACGGAACAAGATACATCAATGTGTAGCTTGATGTGCTGGCGTGTGTACAATCTCATCTGATGCTAAGTAAACACGTGGATGAGGATTATGCTTGCTCCCTTAAGATATTTGTAAAATGATGGGTATGCAACTGTTCTAAGAAATTTCTAAGCCTCGATAGTTAAATTTTTAAGTTGGTTTTTATATTGAACCAAAAAATTAATTTAATCACAAAAAACTTTTAAGAATCTATTTAAGTTCATTGAAAATGAAGATCTAAGAAATAAATATTCGAAAAATCATATGCTAAGTGGGGCGCACTATAAGTTTCCGGAATGAATAAGATAAAAATACTATGAACGGTCAGAAATAAATTTATTGTTTCTCAAAATATTCTCCGTTAGCGTTAATGCACTTTTCCATATGAACGAACCAATTTTGAAAACATTTATGCTACTTCTCCGTGACAATCTCTGAAACATATTTTTCATACTCTTCAACAGCCTCTTCAGGGGATGAAAATCGTTGACCGCATAACTGGTTCTTAATTTTTGGAAATAAATGAAAGTCACAAGGTGCCAGGTCGGGACTGTACGCGGGATGGCTCATAAGGTCAACGTTGTTCACCTTCAAAAATTAATTTATCTGTCTGGCCGTGTGAAAACAGGCATTATTGTGATGCAAGATGATACGGCGTTTACGGTTATTTTTACGGAGTTTGTCAATAACTTCCGGCAAACAAATGGTCGTGTACCAATCACTACTCACGGTACAACGATCATACGGCGCACAGCATCGATGTTTTTGTTGTTCACAGCAGTGGACGGGCGACCATTACGGAATTTGTCACACGATATTCACACGATCGCGTTTGAATTCTGCAAACCAGCTATAAATAGTCGTCTTGCATGGTGCTTTATCGCCAAAAGAAATTTGAAGCCGAGAGAAGCTCCGCTGAGCTGTTAACTTACACTTAAAGTCGTAGAAAATCATACTACGAAAATTTTCACGAGTTGAATGTAGACAACCAAATTCTAAAATGACTCCACAATGTAAAAACAAGTGACAGCCAGATGAAACAAACTGTACTCTACAGCCAAAGAGTTCCATTTTCAAATAATTACTTTTTAAATATTGTTTATGTAAGTGGCCAGTTCCGGAAACTCATAGTGCGCCCTATGTACCAACACTTATTTCGTAGTTCCATTATAATTATTTCTGGAGGTTTCTAATAATTGTTACGGAAAATCTACCTTCAAATGATTTGGAAGAAGAATTTCGTAAGGAAATTTATTCATTTTTCACATTTCAATAAGTAATTACACATTTATTGTCAAAGTCAACGTAACACATAATATTAGCACAAGATTTCGAGATAAATATGAAACAATATTGAATATATCTCTACGATGTCAAGTCTATGCACTCCTTGTCTTAAAATCGCTGCGATAATAATGTTATCTATACAATCGATGCCCTCAGATACCTGAACCTCTAGCCGACCTTTTTGGTTCTGATGGCTTTTGATTTAATTCTTATGAATGCATAAGAATATGTAGAATGCTACACAACATTTTCTAAGGAATTCCAGTGTCATGGTTGACATTCGTATGTAAGTAAATATACGTTAAAGATCAAGTTAGCTAAAAAAGTTTCTTAAAACATCATTCATTAATGATACAATTTGGTTATCATGTCAAACTGAATTTTATGTCTTACGGATTAAAGGTTAAGTACCTATGTTTAACACTTTTCTTCACGCTTATCTATTCAAAGCCAAATGGTCGGTTAGGGGGTCAGGTATCTTAGGGCGTCGACTGTACTGTTAAGAAAAAAATTATATTTCTTTATACTTAACATACCTGAAAAACTCGAAGAGGGTAAAATACCTACTTCTACTTAAAATACACTTGCCTTTACTACCGTGGAAATAAACAGAAATAAACAAAAATAACTAATATTTTTTAATTCGTCCGTTTACCATAAAACTCAAAATCGCTTAAACAACTGATAAAAAGTTGATCTGATTTTCTTCCTCTGATCTTTTTATTTTTTATTGATAATATAAATAAAGAACTAAATCTATCATTGAGTATTAGAAATTTACAACAGCGGCTCTAAGACATTAAGTATCTATGTAAAACTTACACTAATCAGTTTAAAAGTGATAAATATTGGATTTGTTATGTACCGCTTACTAATAAATGCTACTTTTTATAAATAATATAACAGGTGTGTTTTATTAGATATAGAAATATACAAATAATTACCATTTAGTACCATTATCTATCAAAACGGAGCGGAGAAGAACTGTTTCAGCAACACAATAGAGTAATTCGTTATTTTAACTTCTGTATCCTACCGCTTAATTATCACCGCAACGACAGCCGATAAATCTAAATAATGAATTATTGGTTGCCAACATCCAGCTTTCCTCCACTTCGCTTTGATGTTCACTTTACTTTGAGCGCTGTACGCGTTACGAATCGTAACGTATCGTATACGTATCACGCTAGAGATTTTTATTAAATTTGAAACTACTACACGCAGTATTGTAGTACATTCTGTAATTTAAAAAATAACAATATTTTGTATAAATTAACGTTTGACCAGCATGTTCGAAGGTTTATACAAACATTTTTGGGAAAAAACCCAATTAAGATTAAGTCGTACATATATGACACCCCTCATGGAAGAATGGCATAAGTGGAGTTACGTCAAAAAGGCTTATTGCTGAATTAGACACAGAAAAATATAAACCACATCCTCTCCAATTCTTGCAACTCAGTCGACTGATTGTATATCGAGTAACAAGAATTGGAGAGGGCGTGGGTTATATTTTTCTGTATTTAGATATAGAGCTTGCTTCATTAGTGAAGCAATAAATATTTTTAACGTGACTCCACTTATGTTATTCTTCCACGGGGGGTGCGAATATCTTTGTGTGGTAATACAATAGTACATCGAATAGATGTGTATCATGTACGTATCTAACCATGTCACTGAGATTTCGCTGTAATAAATGCACACTTGTAGATATATTATATCTTAAATAGAGGAAATATTACAGCAGTCTAGTCGCCAAGATGACAGACAGCTCGGTGGCATTATCTTTCCGGTTCATTGTAACAGTCCAAACTACTGTTTTCATTAATTTTCTGTCAAACATTTCATGCCACAAGGCCGTCTTACGTTTAAAAAGTCACCACAATCATTAACGTGGAATTGGCATAGGTCGATCAGAAAAAGCTTTAGGTCCATGCGATGAGAGCGAAAAAGACATTGCGTGATTCGCTTCCGCTCGGATCATCCAAGTAAAACGCACAATGTCTTTTTCTCTATATTACCTGTACAGAAAGCATCGAGTACATAACCAAATGTATTCGATAACATAAAGCGATTAACCGGCAAAACTGTCACATTATATTCTAATTCAGTGAAACTTTACAGAATGTCTAACAATTATAATGCAAATGCATTTAAAATTTATTTAATTATATTTATTTCGCTTAATTATAACAAAATATCACATATTTCATGGAAATTTCTGTTGAATTTATTACTAAGTTTTAATTACACGTGTAAAGCAGTCGGTTTCCCGTGTGAGGCGAAAGACAGCCCAGTGGCATTGACGTTCTGACTTTCTAATCGTTGTCCGTGTGTTCTAAGCTCGAATTAAAATTTGTCCCGTACTAATACGGTTCATTTTGCTTGGGTCGAGAGGCAGGGACACTAGCTTTATTTCAGAATTTATTTTACAAACGAAATGAAAGCGGTTTGAAAAATGTATATCGTATAGTATACATGTTCTACTTAGTTCAGTTGTAATTAAAAAAAAGACATTGGTATATGTAAAGTACCTTTCGAATACATCGGTTTTCTTGTACATTTTCGAGGTAAGTTTGTGTTTTTTTTCAAACGTGAAAATTTTTAGGAATCTAAAGGATAATTTTATATATATATATATATATATATTAAATTGATTGATTCAACGGTTTCATTCTTAGGCGGAAACAACCAAAGCCATTTGAGAATGTATAGACTTATAATTGTCAAAAAGTAACAGAAATTGGGGTTTAAGAGTATAACAGTTTATTCACTGTTAGAAGTTTAACGGATAATTAGCAGAAACATGTTAACAGCAACACAGAGTTAGAAAAACAATATTTAAGCTACCGGGCTGTCGGTCGCGTTACGCAGTTGACCTGCAGAACTGAACATTTAGAGTCGCAATTCCACTTAATTTAAATAAGATAAACAAGCTTTGGTTGAGGACGTAAATGTTATATAACAATACAAATATAATATCCATGCTCTTCCAGTCTCTCAAAGTCGAAGCAGGAAGACAGACACCATTTCAAAGAGTACATTCACATTTATTATAAATTTCAATGGTCAAAAGTTCAGACAAATGTGTAGAACTGGATAATGAATTTATGTGCGAAATTTAATTTAAAATATACCATGAGCTTTACGATGAATCGTGATGAAACCTGCACGTCGCAGAAGTTCACAACTCTAGGAAACTGTGTGAAGTCCCCAACTCGCATTGGGCCAGCGTGGCGGACTAGGGTCTATACATCATATAACCCAAGGTTAGGTTAGGTTCCCAAACTTTTTGGCTCACCTCCCACTTAGGTAAGGTTCAACGCCCACCAAAACAAAAAATAATTGAAAACACGTATTTTGTACATTAACTTAACACAAAAATCACAAGGGATTTATATACCATTATGTAGTGTAGTTTATATAGATACCTACTTCAGTTTGTTTTCAAATACGGTAGCACTCCCTGGACAGCATCAACACATCCCAATTCCTTCTAAGGCCCCTACCGCACCGCTAAGACTCTATAGCGCCCTGGTAGGGACCACTTTGGGAAACTGTGGCCTACACCTATGCCTGAGAGGAGACCCGTGCCCAACAGTGGAATGTATAAATGGGTTGATGTTGAAGACATGGTCAATGAGGGTCACATTACACATTTTAACAGTGTGTAATCGAAACATTTCCGTTCTATTTGTTCTACCTTTAACAATCCCTTTAATCGTGTTAGGTTGTAAGGTCGCAAGGGATCCTTTATAATGGAATAAACAGTTTCCAGGTGACCAAATACGATATTTGATGTCTATACAGTATTAGTGTTGATTTTGTAGAAACGCGATGAAGTGTTAACAGGATATGAATTTTCAGTACATCCAATAAAGTGATTTATATTTCACAAAAGAAAAAGCGTTCATTGGTTAATTTAAATATTTACTATATTCATATACTTCATTCGCGAGAATAACGTAAATTTGTACAGGAGCATTTAAAACATTAAATTTAATTTCAATTGTATTTTGTAATTAAGTTTGATTTAAGTGACGATATAAATCATGTTAATAATGTTATATGTTTTGAAATATTCCATGAAAATAAAGTTTTTATTAAAATTTTATATTAAAAAAACGAAGTCAGTGAATTTGGGTATACATAATCAAAAACAGTTCTTAGTTTCTAATCTAAAACGTATGTACATATCGTAACATTGTCAATAATAATGCGTAGAGTTGAGGTGGCAGATGGTGCGCTAGAAAGTAGTGCGCGTGTGATGCGGCAGGACGCGCCCGCGCAGAGGGCAGGTTACGCGCACGTTGCCACGCCGCACCCGACACCATTGGCTCTTCTGCACCGAATCCATTTACACTTAGCTCTAACCCTGATAACAAAAAAGTATTTCACATTTTATTCAATTAAATATCGAGTTCATAAATTAATGATGATTTTTTTAACCCTAATTTGCTAACCTTAATGGTGAAACATTTTGTTGAAATTCAAATGGGACCGCTACTGAGGTACCCTCTCTCCTACAAAAAAGACTCATCAAAATCATCTACCAGTTTTTCTGCCCTATGTACAAAGGGAGATAGATAAAACAGGCAGGTTGCTAAGGAAGTTTTCTATAAAAACTGTTTTCACCCCCTTAATCAAAATAGGAAAAATATTACGTACGCCAAAAGACCATCTCTTGCCTCCGTGGCCGAACGGTTATCCTGCTCCGGCACGGTAAGCTCTGTGCGTCAGGTGCCATGGATACACACATTGACAACCACAAATTACACCCAAACTCACGAGAAAAAAAATATTTAGCCATATAAAATATATATATATATATATATATATGGACCGCTTCGTGGCAGTCCAGCATGGTAACCGTTCGGCCACAGCCAAATCACTGAAAAAACCCCGAAACACTTACTTACTTTATTTAAAAAACAATAAAGGCTATTTAGAACCGGAAAAATAGTTTAGTCCAAACTAAACTATAAATGCGACAGTAACTCTGTGTGTTACGTTTTCTCGCCGTTTTAAACCGCTGAATTAGATGAATATTGGTATTGATATAGACGGGATCTAAGAGAAGGCCAAAGGCTACTTTTTGTCACAAAAATAATTCTTAAAGGGCGTGAAATAGGGGATGAAAGTTTTTTATGTAGAACCAATAATTTCTCAGGTAAGTAGTATTGAGGGCTACTCGAAGTACCCTACGTAGACGATGTCGCGGGCAACGGCTAGTTTCCAATAAATATTCAGTAGGTGGCTTTCTCGCATATTTTAAGAAAATAAAGTAATTTATATAAAATTTGTTTATATCTTTAGTAAATTATACTTTTCAAGATTTGGGTATAAATAAGAACACTCATGCCTTTTGATAGGGTCGTCATTCTATTAGTAGAAATAAATCTACTTGAAAGATTTGATCCAAACCCACAAACAAGGGAAGTGAATTAAAAGCTTGTAAAACAGTTCGTAGTTTAATTTCTGTTCTTTAGAGTGAAAAACGACGTATTTAAATTTTATAGGAATTGTTGTACGGATTTGGGAACAAGTAAGAAATAAAATGGTTGTCAGTAAATTCTAATATGTAAGTATCTATATCTATCTAATATAGAACTAATATGTAAATATTGTTTCTGTCTCAGGCGGTTGTGAGTTGTGACGCATAAGCAAGCAAGATAGCATACAGACATTCAATATTTTTCCTATGCTTTCTCAATATTTTTTTTGTATTTTTTTTTCTACTTATTTTTTAATACACTTGATCTCCTTTTGATTGAAAATCTTTGAGCTCATGTAATTTTAAAACTGCTAAACCAAGACTGGAAATAGCGTCTAAAACATGTATGTAAAAATATTATTCATTAGTTAGTGCCCTAAAACGGATCACATTTTATATGAATGGAGCGCATAAGCAAGATAGTCCTGTGAAACTTACTTCCTGGGTATCGCAAAATGTCTGAAAGCGATTTTAATTATACCACTCAGTACGTTATATACATATATGTGTATAATACATATGTATATATATCGGTGCTGTTGCACACTTACAAGATATTAAATGATAATAGATGGTGGAGTTTAATTATAAGGACCTTAAACATCTGAAAGAAGTTTGGTGTTGATTTTAAGTATAGTGTATGATACAATGTTTAATTATATGTATTTAGAAGTAAGTAAACTCACGAAAGAGAAATGTATTGTAATTTAGAAACGCGATACATTATTTTTATCTCATACGCTTGAATGTCTCATATTTTTGGGGACTTAATTATCTTACCAGATAAGAGAATATTTCATCAAGATGGTTTCATTTGGTGACCTCTTTCACTTTCAGAAACTGAATATTGTAGCACCGTTGTGTGCCAGAGAATTAAATTTAGACAAATGTAGTTTCGAAATTACAATTTATTTAAATTAGTTTTACCACCTTATTAAGTCTGCAAAGTTTAGCAACAATTACATTTTTCTATAAATGTATAATGTTTATTTATATAAATATATTCAAGTGGTGCTACACGCAAAACATACGTAACCTCTTTTCATTAAGATGCAGGGTCATAAGACAATTGTCACGATAAAAAATTATTTTACAGAATTAATTCAAAATTTGTTTCAAGACAAAATAAATCTCTGCAATGTGACGACTGGCCGTTTGTCTTTCAGTGTTTTTTTACATATAGAACGTGGAATTCTTAAGTTACGTTATAGTTTTTCTAAAATCCCAAATGGAAGTATTTTCTTCTTGGAATGTATCTTAAGGCTCCACCGTAAGTAATTTGAATAGTCTTCCGGAAATATTACTTAGCGACTTTAGAATGCTATTGCTTTCAGCCTATTTGAAAAATGTATAAGTGGGTTTTTCTCCTGTATACTGTATGAAATAAACACCATCTAAATACCAACAACAATAAGAATACTTATATAGAGACAGATCGCTGTAAACTCTTACATAATATAGGTGATTTATAATTTATTTTACGTCGTACTCACTATGCACGCTGACTTGACTCTCCATCTTGCCGAGCGCATTGACGGAGGAGCAAATGTAGGTGCCGAAGTCACCAGGTGCCAACGACTTGATAGTCAGGTTCATCCAGAGAGAGTATTCGTTCACCATCGTCTCAGCGACGCGGAACTTCGGGTTTTCTGACAACTTGTCGCTTACTAGTGCTGTTGGAAAAAATAGGCAAGAATATAGAGTCAACAATGGTAAATCAAATAAATAATAGTGAGTAATTATTTACTCATTAGTGTACGATGAAAATGCCATATAGCAATTGTATATAATTAAATAAAGCTAAATATTGCACACGTCAGTAAAGAAACTATTTACAGTTGATAGTAATAATTATTTGTGAGTTTAGGCTAATCACAAAAAAGAACTGAGTTAAATCTATTAAAATCTGCATGCGTATAAAAAAGATGGAAATAGACGTTTACATTTGCCATCTTCTCGATACCAAGAATTCATGGCAGCGGGAGCAGACTCGATGTAGCACTGCAGCTGAATGTCACTGCCCAGAGGTGCGCCCACCAGCTGGTTCGTCACCTTTACTTGAGGTATAACTGGTAATAAAAGATATGATATTAGAATAAGTATGGCCAGGTATCACATTTATCTTTATTTTCTAGGAATCATACACGATCACAAAAAATATTTTTATCACATAATACTACGTGAACGAAAATATGTAGACTTGAACTTTATAAGCACGTTGACCTTGGTGACCCGGTGGTGAGCAATTTGGACGTTAGATAATGAGGTCTACGGATAGATTTTCGATAGGATTAATTTAGGAAATAAATGAGTGTTCTATGTCGATATTTTAGTATTTCTAATCTGAGACGAGGTAATTGATGCGATTGTTTGGCAAAATATACCGCCGCACAAGGTGCCGATATTATTTTAAGCCACAGTCAAACACTCCAACTCCAGAAGAGTGTTAAATGTAGTGCTTTATTTTCGATATCATAATCAAAGACTGTAACTCCAACAAGTGCTAAATGTAACGCTTTATTTTCGATTTTGCTTGAGAAGTCGTATATTTTATTGTGATGTTGGATCATTATATTTCGTAGCATATAGGATCAACTGAGACTTCTTAAAAAATAACCATTTCCCACATTTGATAGCAATGTGTCCTAGTTGGAGTCTGTTGTAAGACGACTGAAAATCGGTCGTTCAGGTACTATCTTGAATTCTTATGACTCTCCAGGGGTTTACATAAAACTGATTTGCTAAGTTCGGTTAAAGCGTTTAGGTCATAAACCGTAACGTGTAGGTATTATACGAGTATATATGTAAACTTAAATACGTAACGAATTATTTTCCTATTGATTTTGCAGTTTTCGGGTAAAAATCATAATATTGTATTGAATCAATCAGAACTGTTTCCCTCTCTATTAAGCACATTTTTGGAAGTAGTTTCTGTTTTTACATGATTATTTAGGATATGCCTATTTACACAGAATATGTTTATATTTGAACAGACAAACAGGCATAAAATTCCGCAAGCTAGCTGTCCGCATCGGGAAAGATGAAAACATGCGAATCTAGGTACCAAGGAATAAAAGTATTTTTTGATATGACGACCTCGATGTCCCAACGGTTTTCACATTCTCAGGTACCATGGTCGGTACTTGTAAGGCCCCAGAGTGAATACCGTTGCTCCAGTCGCATAGTACAGGAAATTACCTAGTTTAAGACAAAGTCATTGGATGTGTTTGTTTGGTACATTATTATTATTATTTTTTCTTCTTTATATTTCTCAGTCCATTGGCTGGTTTAAACCATACTCACAGACCGAAACCAAGTAAATGCAGTATGGCGTGTACCTATGGGAGGGTGTGTAACAAGAGTCTACTTCGTCCTCTTATTATTATTATAATTATTTTGGATATCTATTGTAGACAGTCGCTTCTCCCAAGGCTTAAAAGATTAATTTTGAATATTTAAATGGGAGTGGCAGTATTCCCCGGCAACGGCACAGTCGGCCGAGGTCAAGAACTTAGGTACAAGAACCAGCGAACGATACGTGCCGCATCGAGCAGGACCGCTTTCTACATTTTGTGCTGAAAGGAACACGTCACAGAAATTCACCCGCCTCAAGCTGCTACCAAAGCTGACTGGAATTAACCTATTTGCGGACAAAACAATTGGGATTATTTCAGTGGATATATAATTTGAATCGCAAACGTCTATTATTATTATTATTATATTATTATCTCAGTATAAAATGAAGTTAGTAGCTGCAATTGATAATAATGTATGTGGTTGCTACCACACACGTCCACTGTTTATATTTTTTCGACACCGTGTGGGGTGGGAGCTATGAAGATACTCAATCTTGAAAATATCTTTAAGAATAATGCTCAGCCAACACCTTCACATTTTATAGCCCTTGATTTATGCGAGCCCAGAAAATCTTCGTAATACTTACACCAAACGATTACAGTGCTTAAGCAATTGTTAAGGCTATTTCATTTAAATTATCAGTTCTTGTGTGTAATACCCGCCTGAGTACGTATCACCGCGCTATCTATTTCTATAATCAAAATATCTTGTTCAAAGTTTGTACTTAATAATTATAGCATAGTGGAGTTACTTCACAAAAAATAAATAAAAATATCTTTGTTGAGTGATTCAGAAATCGAAAAGTAGAAAAAGCCACTTTTTTGTAGCAGTAGAACTTCTCGTGAAAGAGTTCGTCCAGGGGACTTGTCAACTTATGTCTCAGGCTGACGGGCGCAGTGGCAGTATGGTGGCAGTACCACTTAGATTTTTGCGATTTATGGCTTATTTAAAATTATGGACAGGCGTGTAGACCAGGAAGACCAGGGTTCGGCGGGCGTCCGGGCCAAGCCCTCCGCCAGTGATACGTCTTCATGGGCATCTCTGGCAGACCCGGACTTTGTTATGGACTGGGTTTGTGGTTAGCTGCAAGGAGGAACAAGTTCGTCTGCCCCGGTAGATGGTGACCGGGGCGTTCGTCACGCGCGCAGCTAGCTCGTTTTAGTAGCGGTCTAGTTGAAGGCCTGAGGCGAGGAGACGCGCGGTGCATGTGAGTTGCCTTTAAGTCGGTGGCTATGCCCGGACATTGTCGCAGGACACTGCAACTTGACATCTCCGGCACTAGCCCGGAGAGCTAGTAGAGGATGAGCTAGACATCTTCCGGTCCCTCCGGCCGCATAGGTATTTGGGAACTGGAGAGACGCCGTTCATTCGGCGTCGGGAAGTGAGCGTGCCTTACAGTTCCGCCACCAATGAGGAAATTTGGTAGTCGGCTTAGAGTCGGCGGTTCAGCGGTGGCAACCGTTAGTCGTGCGGAGCGCGACGGGAAGTGAGCGTACCTACAGCTCCGGTACCTATCTGGAAAATAGGGAGGGTGCTGTACGTGCTCCCGGGGCGGCGCACCTAAGGCACTAGCTTTACGTAAGTGCATGAAAACGGGCTAATCTGGGGTTAGGACCTGACTTAGATGGTCCCTGTGTAAGGTTGCTTGCACAGGTCATAGTGTCCTTCCCGCATAACCAAGAGGTTGATAGGGAGGGGCACTATAAACAAAACTTCTGTAGAAAGATATGGGACTGTTAGTTTAATTTATTTGGTCAGTGTTGGTTTGTATACCATATATACAAAACCGGTAAAAAGCATATCGGACGCGCGCATGAAGAGGCTTTTTAGATCCTGTTTAAACTTTGCAATGAAACCAGGGTTAAATTTTAAAAGATGCACGGTATTCGTTAATCAGTTTATGTTAGAACAACTTTTTGAAAATGTAAAGCATGTTGTTAATTTAGAAAGGTGATTTTTATTGTATTTTTGTTGCATGTGCGATGATTGCACATCTACTCCTATACGTTCCATTGCTGGAGACGGAAACTTCTCTGAGAAAAGTATATAGACTACATTCCGTCATACTGGCTCTACGAGGTCCGGGAATTTCACATAATTTTAAGGAAATTAAAAATCATTCTCTTCTCTTCTTTAGCTAGAATTCACAATTATGTACGTCAGGTTTTCGGTACATGTATATTTACTACACAGTATGTTAATGCTAGTTTTCGTTTAATGGAGACTTGTAGGTTACATCACGAAGATTTCCTTTGTAGTTAAATTTAGTGGCAATCAGTAAACCTATTTCTGCTTATCTAGCTTTTCCATCAAGCAGTAATGTGAGCATCAGTGAGTTTCGGTTGTGAAGGGTAAGTGTGCTGGTAAAATTACAGGCACATGAGACTTTTCAACTAATGTATCAAGGCGACAGGCGCAGTGGCAGTGCCCCTTAGATCTTCGCGATTTAAAGCTATGAGCATCACTGCAACTGTTATAGACAGGCGTAGCGATACCACCAGACGCACGGCTTGTTCGTCATCACTTGGAATCTCAAAAAAAACAGCATATGATTTGAAAAGATTTAGTTAGGGTGTAGTCACACGACCTGCATTCCGATTGCATCCAGACTGCATTTATAATATCTATATAACGATTCATGTGTGTGGTAAGTATTTAATAACCGGCTTCAAATCTTAGAACTAGAATAGTAATGTATGTTAGTTCTTCTTCCTTTTTATGAACAAGGCTGTTGGGGGCGGAGAAACACTCCGCCACTGTGCTGAGCTACAGACCTTTTTATCTCTCACCACTAATGTTGTTACTAAACATTATTGTATAGCTAATATTTATTTTTACTTATTAATATGTTGAGATAAATAAACGATTTCATTATTTATTATTATTAATTTAATTGATTTTATGCAGTTGGAAAGTAGTTTGTGTGACGACACTCTTAACGGTTTAAGCCAACAAGATCGAACCCAGAATTTCGTATATAGCATGCTACTGTTCTCCCACGTAGACTAGTTAACACAGCTTTTCAATATAAAATTGTTGTGCAAAAATCACAATCTCAGAATATGAAAACGATATTCGTTGAATGTCATTCAGTTTTATGCTCCGACCTCGACACACCCAGATGACGAAGTGGAGGTTATGTATGAGGAGATTTCAAAAGCCATGCATAGCTACAAAACCGGTTGTGATGGGGGACTTCAATGCAAAGTTGCCGGATGCCGGATGTTGGTTGATTTCAAGGAAAAGTAGAACCTGTATATGATGAACACCTTTTTCAGGAAATCTCCAACTCGAAAATGGACCTGGATGAGCCCGGACGGTAAAGTAGAAAATGAGATTGACTTTACCAATACGACGAAAAAGCATATATTCAATTATGTCTCTGTGATCAACACCGTTAAAACAGGAAGTGATCACCGGTACGAGGCACATTGAATATCAATATCCGGCTGGAAAGAACTCGACTGATAGAATCTACGCTCCGACCAATACCTGCACAACTCCAAAACCCCGAGAGCTATCAGCTCGAACTTCAAAACTGAAGTTAAAGTTTGAAGTGAGAAGAGAAACTGACCTTGCAAACTGCATAAATGTGGACGACCTAAACAACATGGTGGTGGATACTGTTCGTACGATTGGGTCCAAGTTTTTCAAAACCCACCGTACCAGAATAAAGAAACTCTCCGACAAAACACTCCAACTCATGGAACATAGAAATGAAATGAGGTTACAGAACTCAGAGGAAGCAAGTCACTCAGGCGGCTAAATAGGCAGATATCGAAGTCTTTGACTAGCGACATACGCCAATTGAGTACAGAGCGTATTAAAGAGGCCATTGAGCGGAACAAAGGCTCCAAGGTGTTCGCAAGAGATCTGTCTATTGGGCAAAGCCAACTGACGAAGCTAAAAACTGATGACGGTAGCATCATTTCATCTAAGCCTGAAACCCTGAGGGAGATAGAGAGTGTCTATCGACAGCTATACTCCACGAAAGCACTTATTGAAAGCGAGGTTAAAGATCCCAGAGCCAAGCTTACCCGAAATTATACCGAAGATATCTCGGACGTCAGCCTGTATGAGATTAGTGTGGCTCTCAAACAACTCAAGAACAACAAAGCGGCGGGCGATGATGGAATCACTACAGAACTTCTGATAGCGGGCGGCAAGCCGATACTTAAAGTCCTCCAGAATCTTTTCAATTCTGTCATCGTCGAAGGTCAAACTCCCAAGGCATGGGGAAGCGAAGTCGTTCTGTTCTTCAAAAAACTCTAGAAGAACTATCGGCCAATCTCGCTTCTGAGCCATATCTATAAGTTGTTTTCGAGAGTTATCACGAATTGTCTCGCTCGCAGGTTTGACGACTTCCAACCTCCCGAACAAGCCGGTTTCCGAAAGGGTTTTAGTACCATAGACCACATCCATACGCTGTGACAGGTTATACAGAAGACCGAGGAGTATAACCGGCCACTTTGCTCAGCGTTTGTGGACTATGAGAAGGCCTTTGATTCGATCGAGACCTAGGCGGTGCTGCAGTCTCTCCAAAGGTGCTAAATAGACTATAGGTGTATAGAGGTGTTAAGGTACTTACACAAAAACGCCACTATGTCTGTCCGATTACAGGATCAGAGCTCTAATCCTATCCAACTGCAACGAGGCGTGAGACAGGGAGATGTGATGTCACCGACAATGTTAATTGCTGCGTTGGAGGATATTTTCAAGCTTCTGAACTGGAAAGGACTTGGCACAACATCAATGGCGAGTACCTAACATACCTTCGATTTGCCAATGATATAGTTTTTATGGCTGAGACCTTGGGAGACCTGAACACAATGCTCGAAAATCTTAGTAGTGTTTCCTAAAGAGTGTGTCTTAAGATGAACATGGACAAGCCAAAGATCATGTCGAATGTCCATGTTGTACCCGCTCCAGTTAAAATTGGGAGCATTACACTCGAAGTTGTTGACCATTACATACGTATACCTGGGGCAGACTGTAAAGTTAGGTAAGTCCAACTTTTCTCGTCGAATCCAGCTCGGATGGGCAGCGTTCGGGAAACTACAAAAAATCTTTGCGTTCAAATTACCTCAATGTCTCAAGACGAAAGTCTTTGACCAGTGTGTGTTGCCAGTGATCACATATGGATCAGAAACGTGGTCCCTCACTATAGGCCTCATAAGAAGGCTCAAGGTCACTCAGCGGGCAATGGAGAGAGCGATGCTCGATATTTTCCTTCGTGATAGAATCAGAAATGAGGAAACTCGTAGGAGAACTAAGGTAACCGACATAGCTCGAAGAATTGCTCAGCTGAAGTGGCAGTGGGCGGGGCACATAGCTAGGAGAACCGATGGCTGTTGGGGTGGAAAGGTTCTTCAATGGCGACTGCGCACCGGATGGCGCTCAGAGGGCGCTCGCGGGAAGCCGATGGATGCGGGCAGCGCAAGACCGATCGTCGTGGAGATCGTTTGGGGAGGCCTATGCCCAGCAGTGGGCGTCGTATGGCTGAATGATGATGATGATGATGATGATGTGCAAAAACCTGGACTTACAGTGGACTTGCACGTGGTATCTCCGACTGACAGTGGGCGGGATCCCGTTGCTGGCGATGCAGTAGTATGCACCCATATCAGTTCGTTGTACATGCGCCAATTCCAGACATTCGCCTTTGAAACTTGTGACAACTGCAACAAAAAATACATTGATCAAATATGCGGCTAATATACGCCGAAAAGAAGATGGAGGAATTTGTGGATGAATTTTAAAAACATGATATACGTGTATGAAAGAAGGAAACAACGATATGAAGTCCATACTTTACCAGAATGGAGCGGGGAAGAAGAGTATTACGACTACCAGTAGTTTTTTGTTCTTTGATTTGAATGATTTACTGTTTACTTCTTCTACATTCTGCTCGATGAATCAAAGACAGTAAGGTTAGTGCGCTGAAGCCAACTTATATTATAAGTATAGAAGGATGATTATTGGTTGCTATGCAGTACAATAAATCCATATATTCCCAAGAGTGTCCTGGAAAGCATGTAAATATATCGCTATAAATCCAGGAGACGAGTCTCGATACTACGTGTCTTTAGCATTGTGATATAGTTATAATTTATTGCGATTTTCTTTCACCATAAGGTTAATCGTTCTATTTGCAGGACTCCAAATGGATTATTAAAATGAAGTTCGTTTTTCTCCAACTTTTTCTAATCTCTGAGTCACACAACTTAAACTTCGTTATTCAGTATTTTAGTTCGAAGCGAAACGATGCTGGTCGGTTGCTGAGGAGAAAATGATCGTTAACATTTTATATTTATGTCAATAATTAAATGTCAATACAGGAAAATGCTGGCAAATTACTTACATCTAATTATCGAAGGAATTACGCACTAATGATTTTTGTCTCAAGGACAAAGAAATGATAAATAATACGTTGTTTTCTTTGCTATAATTTTCCTTTGATGTGCACGTGTAAAATATTACTGTGCAATGAACGTTAACGACAGAACAAAAAAGACGTAATATAATAATTCATAATATTCTCCAGGCTATGGTTTTCAGTGATCCGTGGTTAAATTAGGTTGTGAATTATTTCGAACCTTCGATGAATAATAAATCATTAAAAGTTTAAATATGCATAGGTAACCCTTAAAAGGGTACTACTAAAATAAACCGTGTGACAATTTGTTACGCGGACGGGTGCGTGTACAAGTAAATCCACTTTCTTTTTATTTTTAAACCAACATTAAGCACTGTTTTATTTACGTTTACGTTTAACTTACTTTTGCAATTTCACGTCACCTTTTACGTTAAGCTGCCTTTGAAATTATCATCGACTTACTAATTTGCTTAATTGAGCCAGAATTTAATAACTATCTCACGCATACATCGGCAAACGTTTAACTAATTACAAAATTAATTATTGTGGTAATTAATACCGTGAAATCAACTTACTGTAAACTCCGCGATAATTTGTGTATTATTTAAATCTTTACTTGCGATCCGAAATTAATTAATAAATTGATAATAAAACTGAAGCATTGATAAATGTTTTTACTAAAAGGACCGGGATAAATTACATGGAAAAAAGCTGTCGGAGCTCGCTTTAGAAGCACAGTGTTTAAGTAATCTGAGCTTTATTTGTATGTGGTGTTTTCCTAAATTTATACCGTCGGAATCCGTAGTCATTGAAGCGCGAAAAAATATTCCGACGCCGCTGCTGAGGAGATGAAGCGTCTATGTTGAGTGCGGCATTTTTTTGTTCCGTGGAAATATCGTCCATTCTGAAATCGCTTTTAAGTATAAAATCTTTTATTATGCGAGCATGGTTCATTTAACGCGACATTAAGTGAATTTGTCGAACAATGTATTTAAAAAAATGAACGGGTAAAGAGCTGTGAAATGCGAAAGAATGTCGGTAGAGTTTCTATTAATCGCTGTCGTGAGGGATGGTAACAGTTCAAGTAAAATATTATATAAATTATTTGTCTGATAATAAAATAACAGACAAATAATTTTGCTCAAAATTGCTTTAAAAGCAATGTATGCCGTATGGAATTCACAACACAGTCCAATGTTTAGCTTCCCAAGCAACTGGAATTAAAATCAGTGTAACACATAGTTCTATCCATGAAACGGTGGACCACAAAATTTGCGTATCCCAGTCGAGTAATTAAGAGACCTGAAAAGCCAAAGCGGACATTAACAAAGTGCACATTATGTTTAACGAGACAGCAATCGACTGGTATAAATTAGTTGTCGTCGAACCGTGAAACAGCACATTAGTGTCCCGTTTGCTAATGACGTCAGATATTTAGTTAATAATAATTGAAAAACAGTCGTACTATACAACAAAAAGGCTTGCGTTGTGTGTAGGGTGTGGTCTGCCCCCAACCTCGGGAGGCCGGGAGCCCCATGCAGAAGGCTATACGCCGGGGTGACTCGGAGTGTGGCCTTATACGGGGCTCCCATTTGGAGTGGGGCCATATCAGCGGCGACGAAGGCACTGCTGAGGAGGCCCCAGAGGGTGGTCGCCCTGCGAATGTGCAGGGCGTACAGGACGGTGGCCTGCGCTGCCGCATGCGTCCTCGCCGGTACTCCGCCGTGGGACCTCGAAGCCGAGGTCCTGGCGGAGGTCCGCACCTACCGGCGGGGAATGAGGGACCGAGGCGAGCGACCCGCTCCCCAAGAGGTGGAGCGGGAGCGCCGCCTCGCGGCGCAGCGCATGCGGGACCGGTGGAAAGAGGGCTTGGCGGATCCCCCCTATGGCGCTCGTACCATAGAGGCGATCCGCCCTGTCCTCGTAGAGTGGGTAAACCGGTCCCACGGGCCACTGTCGTACCACCTTGAGCAGGTGCTGACCGGGCACGGCTGCTTCGGTCACTACCTGCACAAGGTGGCGAGGAGGGAACCGTCCCCGTCGTGTCACGAGTGCGGCGCTGCGGATGACACCGCGCAGCACACCCTAGAGGTGTGCAGCCGGTGGGATGAGCAGCGCCGCATTCTGACGGGGACTGTAGGGCAGGACCTCTCGCTGCCGAGCGTGGTTGCCGCCATGCTCGATAGCGAGGAGTCCTGGGAGGCGGTGGCCTCCTTTTGCGCAGAGGTTATGTCGCAAAAGGAGGCCGCGGAGCGGGTGCGCGAGGACGCGTCGGACGCGCACCCGCTCCGGCGCAGACGTACGGGGAGAAGGCGAAGGCAGTTCGCTGCTCGCCTGATCCCCTAGTGAGACCAGCGGGCTCTGGACAGGGACTCCGGAGCCTGCATTGCACGGCCTCACTCGTCTGGGGCGCGGGTCGGAGGACAACCGACTCGCCCCTCCGTTGGCGCGGGAGCCCTGGCGTAAGCTAGGGCGGCCGGGCGGCGTCGTGGTGAATGTTCACTGATCCCACGGCGCCGACTCAACCGGCGAGAGGGAAACCCGGGGGGGTTTTAGTGGGGTAGGCCCTCCAGTCTGGAGGGAGAGTCCCCACATAACCCCTGAGTCTCCCTGGGCTCAGGGGTATCCATAAAGATTTCCCCCCCGTAAAAAAAAAAAGAAAAAAAAAAGGGTGTGGTCTGCAGATTAGTGTACAAGGTAGCGCACATATCGCTCCCATGGTTCCGTAAGGCCACATCTTCAAAATAACAACTTTTCAGGACAGAGGTTTAAACATTCTATGGACGAAATTAGTAATAATAATAATAAACTTACACACTCATAGCCCCGCACTTGGGAAACCCTATGTCGCGAGTGCCATGGACACATACATAGACAACCACAAATTACATCCCAAGAAACGAGAGAAATAAATGTAGGCCATACAAATATTTCTCTCGGCCCGGGAATCAAACCCGCAACCTCAGCGTGGCAGCCCACCATGGTAACCGTTCGGCCACGGTGGTAATTAATATATAATAATTAAATAAATATCTTTTTTATGCTTAAATAGGATAGTTGTAAAAAATCACATGTACATAATTTAGGAACAGTAGAGCTCCTTGTGAAAGAGTTCGTCCATCAAAGTACTGCCACCTTATCTACATCTTTCAGCCGCCAACCAGTACTGTGACTAGTACTGTGTTCCTGTTATGAAGGGTAAGGGTGCTGGTGAAATTACAGGCACTTGGGACTTGTCAACTTATGTCTCAGGGTGACGGGCGCAGTGGCAGATCTTTGCGATTTAAAGCTCTGAGTGACACTGTAACTGTTATGGACAGGCGTGTCGCTTACACCGGGCCCTTGACTTATTCGTTCCGTCACTTGGAATCATAATAAAAAATTGTTTCATGTAGTATTATTTTTATGACTTTCACGTGATAACTTGATACATAATTACTTGACGTATAATTACATGTGGCTTTATAATAGGATATGCTGAATAATAGCAGAATTTACAGAGTATAGTCAATTGTTTCTTAGACACTAGAGTACATTAATTTCATTGCGGTTCGTTTATTTGCTAAATGCAAATTTTGTTTCAAATTTTAATTGTAGGGTTCCATTTTTGGAAACATTTCCTCGATGTGCTCTGTTACTGACATTTTAATCCGAAAAAGAGGCCGCCTCTCCCGACTATAAAGCCGTACGTGACTGAAATAGGAAATGTATTAGCCTAATTTGGTATTTTTCTTGATAAAATTAGTTCAGTGCACAAATTTCTCTTCTTCGGCTATAATGAATTGACTGTCATTTGTTTCAGGTCGTAGGTACGCGTAGGTATATAATTAATTATTCAGTGGTTTGAAGCTAGTTTTTGTTTAACAGGGAAATGAGTGCTTTAATTTACTCTTTGGACTTTCTTAAGACTGTTTTACTTTACGCTCAAGTTCAAACAAAAAAAGTAATTAAGGTTCGCTTCCTGCGACATTAAATAAATCGAAATGACTGAACAATAAAATCGCTTATGGATATTTAAGTTTCCTGGCAATTTCTTTTTGATGAAAACGTTTAATTGTAATAATATTTTTGACCTATACTTGTGGAAATTATTACAAAAAATTACAGTCGACCGATACTATTGATCGATAAATACTTATCATTTATATATATTTTACTTACACTTTATCTGAAATAGTCAACATAGAGCAATAATTCGATTGATACGAAAGTGATATGTTGATGTTAGGCAAGAAATTAACAAGTAAAAATCTGAAATGTAAAAATATTGTGCTAACATAAAGCACAATATTCAGAAAATAC